CGGTGTGACCTTAGTCACACGGACTCCGATGTTTAAGTTAGCAAAGGGGATTTGAGAAATGGTGAGTTTCCAGTTTGTTACCTACCCCTTAGGGTTAGGCTGCATTGCTTACTTATAGGTGCGGGAATGGTTCCAGAACCTTCTACAGTGGAGCCCTAATTCATAGTTGCAAGGCCCAAAGGGAATCATCGATCAAAGACGGGTGACCTTAGGGCTTGACCGTGGGCCGAGCCAGGCTCGGCACCGAGCAGGGGTCGGGACTGAGCCCTGCTTGGTCTGGTCTGGTTCTCTGCCGATTGCTTCCCTAGTTCGTTCTTATCTGTAGTCGACCAATTGTTGATTTTCTGTGTATAACATCACCCATTCCTACTTTCTAAAAATAAAATCTCTTTTACATTTTCCCATAATTTATTAATTTTACCTCCAAAATTTATTATTTTTTCTTTAATTATAATAAATTTGAAGCTTACTAGTTAAACAATTTTTTAAAATAATGTTATAAATGTAAATTGAAATTAGGAATTAGATTTTTATTTATTTATTTATTTTTATTTTTAGAATAAAAATATAACACTAGTACTTTGAACTTCTATCTATCATGTGCATAACATGTGTTACAAACTAGTTTACATAAACAAATAAAATTAAAATTAAAACTGAATAACTTAATTTAAAATTCATGATCAAGAAAAATCAAAATTTAAATTCACCAGGTAGCAGGGTAAAATCACCATTGTCGATGTTTTGCTTCTTTTCGTCCACATAGGTGTCTCTCGACTGTCTTATGCGATGAAATTTTTTCATTAGGACAAGTTTGTCCAACGTTTTTTGGAGTTTTGTTGACATTTTGTGGCGTCAATAAAATGGTAATTTGTAGTAGTGTACCCAACCCTACGAGGATTTTTCTTTTCTAAACCTTAATGTATGGCTGATTTTTAATGAGTGAGAGAAAGTGGTATTGAAGATATTGAAAAAACCGTTAAATAAACCAATTTAACATTCGGAAATTAAATTCATGTATTAAGAATTTGAATGTTATTTTGTAACAAAATCTTTATCTATTTCATATATCGTTTTTGTTTCAATTTTGTGATATGTAAGTTTATTTTGTTAAAGTTACATAGGTAAAAATGTTACATATGTGTTTAATATTTTTGTGAGATGTTACATGTTTGGATAACTATGTGTAGTTACTGGTTTCCTTCATTTGAGATATCCAAGCATTTCTCATTTGAATTCTCCGCCTCTCATAAGAATTATCTCTTCTTTTGATTCTTGTTTATGTTGAGAGCAAGTGTCTAAGAGTTTTGACAAATTTTAGTAGTTCGAGGTTGTTATTCTACTGAAATTAGTCGTTGTATCCTGGTAAGACAATCACTACAGTTTGCTAGAAACTTGTATTAAGCGAATATTTGTCTTCATGTCATCACTAGGGGTGTTCAAGGAACCCGACAGTCCTTACGAATCCAATCCAACCCGACGGGCTGGGTTGAATCTAACATTGGGTTCGGTTGGGTTGGAAAAATCCCAACCCTACCAGGTTGGGTCGGTCTAGGGTTGACCCTTGAAAATCTAGGGTCAACCTGACCCGACCCGAGATTTTATAGTTTTTTTTACGAATAATCTAATATTACATATATATAATAAATTATTAATTATTAATTAAAATCTTATTTTTTATATTCAATCTCATCCATCCATTTCATTAAATCTCAACCATTGATTTTAGGTTTCAATTCAATCCTCTCTATTTTCAATATTTTGATTCTTTCTCTTTTATAACATTGTCAATTTCATCTTCCTCTCCCCATCTCTCCCTATAATTAGGTGTAAGCTTTTAATATTGTTGAATTAGGGCTTACATGTTGGTTTCAATTTTGATTTTGACTTTAAATAAACTTTGGATAATGTAAAATTTTAAAATTTGTATTAAATTAGGACTTACATGTTGATTTCAATTAGGATTTGAATTTGTGCTTAAATTAAGATTTTGATTTTTCTATAGTTTTTTTGGTCAATGTTACAAACAAAACAAAAGTAAATTAATTAATCAATTTAAAAAATAAAAAAAAATAAAAAAACTCCGGGCAACCCAACTCGAATTTATTGGGTTGGGTTGGGTTGGGTTGGCCATCGTTTTACAACCCAACGGTTCCCACAAATTCCCAACCCGAAAATTCGGGTTGGTCCCAAAAACACCCCCAAGCCGACCCAACCCAACCCGTGAACACCCCTAGTCAACACTGTTGAAGTGTGCCTCGACTATATTTCGTAAAGTTTTTGTGTTCATCAAGTTGTCAAGATTTTTAATTATTTATAGCTAGCTACGTTGTAATCTATTTGTCAGTGCTACACAGTTTATATATATAGCGTATATGTACCTAGTAATCTGAAGACAATTAGTGTTGGGATGGCTGCAAACATTTCTACCAATGCTTCTTCGATAATTATATTGACCATTGTCAAATCTCATGCTGAAAAACCATAGAACTTCAAAGGATAAAACTTCAAAAGATGGCAATAGAAGATGATCTTCTACCTCACCTGTAAAGACCCAAATTTCTGACACGTTTAACGAAGTAACAGCCCTATAATGCTTATTGAACCCTCCCATTTAAAGTAACGAAAATGTAATGTTCTCCTAATGCAACATACAAAATGGAGGTACACAATAATGGAATATCCAGGAGATAATACCCGCCTCCCGCCTCAGTGGTCAGGAATCCAATCAAGAATATAATCATTTTGTCTCGTAATCCCAAATACATCAGTAATTCGAATAGTAAAAAAAAATATCCATAAAGCAATAAGAGAACGTGTTCTTTGAGTTAACCCAATGTCTAATTCCCCTTTTTATTCCATAGCAATAAGATTTTAACGATGTCTGCATTGCACGACATTATTTCCTAGCCTAACTGATACGAATCCATTTGTGACCCATTACATATATCAAAGAAGCAATTATTACAAGAAAGGCAAGGAAAATTCAAGAGGCTTTCACACTGTACCTTCAAAAGCTTGTTAATGCACAAGAACCAACAAAGAGTTTTGAGCCCGAATTTATTCATAATGTTACTTCAATGAGTCAAGAAGAGAATGGAGCAAAGAT